GTGTAGCACTGGTTTTAGTTCCTTAAGAGCACTTATACTCCCTAAAATGTGTTTGATTTCCTGAAGGGCATGTTCACGCTGTACAGCGTTCTTGCTTCCTTACCTTTTTGCTAGTGTGTTGTCTCCCCACCCCCATTCTGCGCCAGAACACAAGCTCCTCAAGCTTTGTCCACGGCTGTATCCTTGGCTTCTAGCCAGGATCAGGCCTGTGGTGGCTGCTGAGTACACATTACAGTGACTGACGTGGCCCCCTCCCCTCCTGTGGTTTTCCTTAGCGTTTGGCTCAGGTCCTGCCCAGCACAGGTCTCGATGCGCCCGTGTGAACAGGACAAGGGGTTGATGACTTACTCATAAAACTCTGCCGCCGGCGTGAACTTGTACTTGGAGTACGTGGTATGGTTGCCCAGCACGGAGCTGTTGAGGAGCTTGGGGTCGGTGCAGTTGGGGCTGTTCCAGGCATGGCCGCAGTCAGTCCAGGGCAGGTGAAGGGTGAAGGAGGAGAAGAGGTAGTAGAGTGACCAGGCAATGATGACATTGTAGTAGAAGCCAACGTAGAGCGCAATGAGGATCACAGCGTAGCCAACTCCTGGGTGGGGGGCAGAGGGGGTCAGGCAGGGGCTTCCCCAGAACCACCTCTCCTGGGGAGCTGGCTCCAACCATTGCACCACCCGACCTCCCACACCTCTCTTTTTCTCGGTAACAGATTGTCGGAGCCCTAAATCCCCTAGGGCCCCACCCCCCATTCCTTTGCCTGAGGGCTCTCTCTCTTGCCCCTGGAGCCCCTTCTGTCCACTCATCATCAGGCAAGGTGAAAGTGCCAGGATGTTTAAGGCCCCAGGGAGCAGCCGGGTCAGGTGTTGGAGCATAAGTCTCCCAGCTCCCCCCCGCCCCGACCCCTTGGGCAGGATAACACTGAGGCATGATAACATTCGCCCCCAGCGGAATGAAGCCCCTTGCCCACGGTGGAAAGGCACGTGATCCATTTCTCATGTCTGCCGTGGGAGCAAGAGGGGAGAGTAGTGGTATGTGTTCTGGGTACCTCTGACCCTTCTACGAGTTTTTCCCATTCAGGAAAACAGACTCCTTCCGGTTACTCAGCTGTACAGCCTGGACTGGAACCCAGATTTCCAGACTTTCTAGGCTAAAGCTGTTCCTGACACCCCCAATGTGTTCCATGTAACTTTGAATGGTGGACGCGTTTGACCTTGCCAATAACTGTAACTCTCGAGAGAGTTGGTCTACCGCAGATCCCACCTTTGGAGCAGATTCTCCAGGGGCACACAGAAGTCTTTTAGAACAACCTTTGACTCCCCCAGATTCCTTCTTTACCTTTGAAAAACGGGCAGATCTTCCACACGGTGGCTGCCCCTTCCCTGTTGTACTGGCCCAGAGCCAGCTCCATGTAGAACAGGGGCATGCCAGCGATGATGAGGAACAGGGTGTACGGGATCAGAAAGGCACCTGGAAGACACAGAAGCAGAGTGTGAGCCCCTAGATCCCTGCCCAGCCTTGGGCCTGCCCCTCAGAGTGTGTGGACCCATGTCAGCCAGAGCTGTGAGGGTCCTCATTCATGTCACCCGGCCACTTCTCAAGGGATGTCTTGTGGTAGGTAAATCAGAGCAATTAATACAAATAGCCATAACATAATAATAGCTGTAGCAGTAGTCGTAATCATAATCATAATAATGAGGTTCTGTGCTCAAACTAGTAAAATCTGTGTTCATCAAAGCTAAATAGTCTTGGGCTTCCCCGGTGGCGCAGTGGTTAAGAATCTGCCTGCCAATGCAGGGGACATGGGTTCGAGCCCTGGTCTGGGAAGATCCCACATGCCGCGGAGCAACTGAGCCCATGAGCCACAGCTACTGAGCCTGTGCTCTAGAGCCTGCAAGCCACAACTACTGAAGTCCGTGCACCTGGAGCCCGTGCTCCACAAGAGAAGCCACCGCAATGAGAAGCCCGCGCACCGCAACGAAGGGTAGCCCCTGCCTGCCACAGCTAGAGAAAGCCATGCACAGCAACAAAAGAACCAAAGCAGCCAAAAGTCAATTTAAAAAAATAATTAAAAGAAAAAGCTAAATAGGCTTGTTTCTTGCAGGATTCTCCTAGCCTTTGATACACAAGCACAAGCTGTGACGGGCTAAGAAGAAGATCAGGTGCAGTCTTTACCAAATTAATTTCAACACAGAACCCTTTCTTTCATGAATCACAACTCTGGGGAATGCCAATTACCCCAAACCCTTCCTTTTATAGGTAAGGCAATTGAGGCCAGAGAGGGAGAGACAGTGCCCAGAGTTACATATGACTGAGTTTTCATTTTGCTCATGTCTATATCAGTTTAAGGTCACCTCGGGTTTTCCTAAACATGACCTCACTGGATTGTCCTTAGTCTCACATCAGCTCACAGAAATAATCAGAGAGGGTCATTATTTCCCCCCAGGGGAAACTGAAGACAGAGAACGGAGTCAAATTGGTTTTGTTTGCACTGTTGCTAAGTGACAGAAGCAGGATTCGCATTCATGTCTTCCAACCATCAAGCTCACTGTTACTGCTGGCTGAAGGTAAACAAACACTGGAGCAAAGAGGCCAGAGGCTCAAGTCTCTGACCAGGGAAGATGCCCACCCAGAACACTGCCGAAGCTACAGGGAGCCCTTGGCAATGGGCAGCAGCAAATCCCTGGGAAAATTCCTGGTAGAATTAGACACGTCTGAGTTCCAGAGACAGTTCTCGGTACGCCTGGTAGCCTGGGGTGAGCTTAATGGGCTCTGACGCCGTGAGGTGACTCACAGGGGTACTTGCCACGTCAGCCTAGGCTGCTCCTTGGCCTGGTGCAACCGGAGGTGGCCAGGCCAGATCCACACTCCTCCCGCCATTGGCCTTTGGCTAAGATGTCGTAACCTTGGAAACCAAACACTCTCTGACCCGCCCACACTAGGAAAGTGCAGAAACAGGGAAATGCGTAACGATGATAATATTAGGAATATAATATTCCCTACTGTGTTCCTGGCACTGTGTTCCATGCAATACCTCATTTCATCTTCACAACAACACTGAAAGTATTACTACCTCCATTTTACAGATGTGGAAACCGGGGCACCAGGCTAACAGAGAATTGTGGCAAAGTCGCATGCACCCAGGGTCAAACTCCCCCAGCTACTCAGACTGGCAGTCTCCACTTTCCTCCCAGGGCTTCTCCTCAGGAAGCCCAGGGCTCTTAGGGACAAAGCATGAAGTTTTGGCCGCAGTGCTCTGAGACCCATTCCTTCTGAAGCAGGAGACGGACCAGCAGGGTGGGCAGTAGGGAAGAAACCACCGGAATATGAGTACCTCCTATGTATCAAGCAGGGCACTGGGCACTGGACATCTGTGATCCCATTTACGCTACCCAGAAACCATCTCAGGTGGCAACTGCTATACCCATTTTTCAGAGGAGGAAACTGAGGCTTGGTGACTTGTCTAAATTCACCCAAATGGTCAGTGATAGATCTGAGATTTGGGCCCAGGTCTGCCTGGCTCCAGAGCTCCAGAGCCATTCCCAAAATATTCTGTTGATTCCAGAATATCCCAGCCTCGATGGAGGACATGAGTCTGCATAGAGGCTTGGTGGAGGGTGATCTGAAACTGGGACTCTGGGGCCAGCTGAGCCAGCTGGTCTGCTGGTCATGGGCTGGTCCAAGCCTCCAGCCCCTGCTCCAGGCTGGACTTCTTTGAAACAGCCACATGCCAACCTCTCTCTTCCCCTCCTCATTTCTACTCTCAATCTCCACCCTTCTCTTTCCCCACACAGAGAGGGCTAGTCTGGCACTGGAACCCACGTCTGTTCACGCTGCTGATAGCAATGCCGGTGATGCTGATGGAGGTCGGGGTGGTGGTGGTGACGGTGGAGCTGGTGAAAGTGACAAGTACCATTTATTGAGCTCCGTTATATGCCAAGCCACACACTAAGTTTTTGCATAATTATTCCCTTAAAACCATCCCTGAGAATTACCACCAATCCCATGTAAAAGATGAGGAAACTGAGGCTTAGAAAGGTCAAGATGCTTGTCCAAACTAGTAAGTATGCTTGCTTGGCTCCACATCTGGATCTGTTGGAGCCCCACTCTGCCTTGTGGCCACCTGTCACTGCCCTTGGGGGCCTGGAGCCAGAGAGTAAGGGAAATAGATGTATTAGAGTATTTAACAGGCCTGAAGACTGAAGTCAGTGGCCCAAGGGACAACAGGAAAGGAAAAAGCCAGGAGTCATGGCTCAGATCTTGGCACCGTGGTTTGCCGCTGTCAACTAGATGTTCTTTTCTACAACCAGAGGAAAAAGCAACGTCAGCCAATTCACCAGGGATCTCACATTGGCCAGTTTTCTCAACTCCAACCCTCTGGGTGGCACTGCCAACAGGTAGGTAAATTGCCCAGTTTGAGATTCATCTCCTCTTGTGCTGGCTGAGAGTTCCAGTGGAAGGAGAGGAGGAAAGATTATGGGTCTGCACAAGCCCAAGACTCTTCCAAGTGCGTTTGATGCGGGCCAGCCAAAGCTTCAGGTGGTAACAGATGGGGAGCGTTCAAGAATGTTGGAACGGCTGAGTATGAATGAAAACCAGAAAGCTGCCCAGTGGCCAGTGTCTTATTCTAAAAGAGGACATCGACCAGGGAGATGGCCTAAGCCCCCTTGCAGAAAGATCTGGAGGAAGCCAGGACAGAGCTGAAGAGTCAGAAAGAGGTTTCAGGGGTGCCTGAGGTCAGCTAAGGATGCTTCTCCTAGAAACAGCCCTGCAGCAGCTCCTGGGACACCGAGGCTGGTTGCAAACTTCCTAGAAGGTACTGCTCTGCAAGGCCCATAACTGCCACATTCCCATGGCCCTGCCTCATCTCCATGCGTGGCAGTGTCAGCTTCATCCAGCCTCATGCAGGGCCAGAGAGCTGAGAACCTGAGGAGCTACAGGCCCAGAATCCTGGCTCTGGAATGCTCTGGCTGGGCTGACAGGGGCAGACCTCCCGAGGGTCTCAGCTCCTAGGGGTCTCCAACATCCACACACGTACACAGATGCACACCTGTACATCTTCATGCAAAGGTACACACAGATTCTGCACGTCAACACACTCACACGAACACAGGAAGAAAAGACTGTCAACTGCGAAAGGGACTCCGACCCGTGGCCTTTGGATGAATTCAGTAAGAAAAGCATCTGTCTGGCACACACTGCCTGATGCCGCCCCACCATTAGAGAGGAACACTACTGGTCAGAGAGGGGCTCTGGACTCCTCTGTGCAAATGTCAAGTCCTCAGAAAAGGGAAGCCAGTGGTCACTCAGTTCAGAGTGGGAAGTGCTGGAGCAGACCCCTGGTGGGTGAGGAGGACCCCAGGGCAGGGGACGGGATGCCTGTGGGAGGTGGCTCAGCAAGAGGAGGTGCGGGCCAGGCCTGGTGTGGGGGTGGAGAGACTGTGAACAGGGAGGGGCTGCAGGAGGGACAGGAGGGTTCCTTGAGACCTCACTGGACCAGCTTCCAGTTGGTGGAGGGTAGGATTCCTCAAACTGGCCACATCCTGATATATTAAGAAGTGAAAACCCACAGAACTGTTCTCCTGGTGCCTGTAGCTCAGCTATGGGTTGTCACTGCCCGTGGCTTTCACCAGAATTCCAAGAAAAACTTGGTCAATGCCTACGGTAGCCAGATTTGTCCCCGCTTCACAGGTACCCCAAGGGTATAGACATCAGGGTGCAAAAGAAGGTGAGATTTCAGTAGAGACAGGGCTGCACGCAGCAGGCCCACCCGACTTGCAGAAATGGGGACAAGCGCACCGGTGGAGACTCACCCTGCGATATCCACATATTTAAAGGTGACAGCTCAGGCCCCAGCTGTTAAACCAAACCTGCTCTATCATCCTACCCTGACAACTCAGCATGGTTCTATTAAAAAGTTCAAATCTGGAATCCCCAGTTCTTGGAGCTTTGCACTGGAGTGTGGAGGCCTTGGGGGAGCCCACACCCGGCTTCATCCCCACCTCAGCTCCAACCAGCAGTGTGTGAGGCCTTTTGCACGTACGTGTAGACTCTTGTGCCCACATGTCTAAGCTCTGTCCACAGCCTCTGCAGACAGGGGGCCTCTGGCTTCCTCTTGGGCCTGGGGCTGTGCAGGCCTGTAACACAGTCCAGGCTGGGGAAGCAGGGTCCAGGTAAGAGGACCTTGTAGACTGGGGTGGGTGGATGTTGGAGTGTTTGGGCAGGGAATTCCGGAGTCCAGGTACCTGGAGTTTGATGGGGGTTAGAATCAGTGCTCTGGGTGGGCAGGCCCTCTCAGCCCTGGCCTGGGGGAGGCAGAGAGGAGGGCAGAGCAGGGCACAGGGCCCAGGTCAGACCCCCTGTCTCTTCTCTGGACTCCTGACACAGAACTCCTAAAACCCTTGTAACTGCCTGAGTGATGGGGGTGACAGGAGCATCTTACGCAGAGCTCCTAAATCCCTGGGAATTTT